ATCCTCTAGAGTAAGAAATTGAAGGAAACAATGGAGTTCCATCAGTCTTACACCATGAAAGTATGATAAGAAATGAGAATAAATGTATTTATGGCACAATTATATTATTTCTGCTACAATGACAAGAATCACTGCCTGGTTTAATTTTTCTGGAAATTTTATGAAAATGAGAAAAATCTAATGAAATCTTTTGAAAATGTGTCATCATCTTTCAGTCACAGTTGTTATTTATGAATAAATAAAGCATTTAAATTGTAGCCTATATCACAATTTAATGGAACTGCAGTGAAATATTACAATATATTGTTTTGCAATGAAGAATGTACAAAGACTTACTATAAGCGACACACCATGTTAACGCCTATTATCTCAAAAAAAAAGTGTTTACTCTGAAATTCAGATATTCAACCATTTATTTTGTGGTTTGTTTACTGTTTTTTTTTTAATTAAAAAGGCTACTCTTTTATATAAGTAAATATTTAAAGAGTAGAAATTACTATATATGTTAATATTCTTGCATGTTATTCTAGAAGATTTGTCTCTAACAAATGTATAACTAAATAAAACTTACCTTGAAGTAGAGCTGCAATTTGGAGCGACTGTTGAGATGGATGTTCTTTAAGAATATCTAAAACCGTTCTACCCAAACTGTCCTTTATGTTGGTATCAATTCCTGAAAAAAGAAAATTATGTGTGGTGGAATTTTTAACCCCAACTACTTCGGATTATAAACGTGGTATATCAGACTTAATTATCCGGCAAATGGAATGCAAGCGTTTTTACAACTGTAGCAGATTAACAGCTGTGTTATAGTTGAAGTACAGCATCCATTTCTGTTTAAAGCTTGAATAACCTAAAATTCACATGCTGACATGGATTGGTTTTGTTTCTGGAACTCATGAGGATATAAAGTAAGCTTCTTAAACTATACTTGTGTTTAATTTAACAGACTTCCTAAAAAACAGCCATCCTGAACACAGTATTTCATAAAATCAAGAAATTCTCTGAATATTTTTCCTACATTCCTGGATTCTAATTCTCCCCAAGCTGCTCTGATTCATTGGGGATTTTCTAATCCATAGGACCAGTATGTGTCTGGGGAGAAATACTGAAAAAAGTTATTAACTTTAAAATTTTTAACATCATGGCAACATGTTCAAAATTCTTGCTCTGGGTAGACTGAAATACCCACATGTAGTATAAGAGATCTGTGAACAGCCAGTGCATTTTCTCACAGACTGTTCAGACTGTTGACAAAATAATTGTTTGGCTCAAACTGTGAATGTAACCATAAAAAAGTTTAAGGCTTATCCTCAATAGGATTCAGAGAGCCTGTCGTACATGATACTGCACAACACTCCACCTTTGTGTTGTGGGGACTACTTTGGAAATTTTTGCTTTACAGTAGAAGACTGAAGTTGTTTTTTAGTTTAGATGTACTTTCATAAAAAGTAAAGGCATAAAAGGTCCTAACAAACAGAATGAGATTCTTCTTGGGACGCTGAACAGAGCAAAATAGAAGAAGCAAGACTTATAAGGACATTCTGGAAGCATGGAAGGTTTTCTCTACTCATCACTGAAAAGGCTGCAGTTCTTGTCATTTCCTGACCTGGTGGAGAGTTTACTAATTTGTTTTGTGAGAAAGAGATGTTTGTTTTGTCATTGAAAATAAAGCCAAAATTATTTTATAAGCCTTATATATATATATTTTTATATATTTAGATATTTTAATATATTTTTATATAT